TTTGCATGCATCAGATTATCCAGTTGTAAATACCAGGCTGGCGATCTTGAAATTATTCATTTTAAGAGCATGTTGGCTAAAGTGGTCTCTTTTTTGATCAGTGATCCCATAGAATTCATTGCAAGGGCTGTGTATGCTTCAAATTGCCCTGCAATGCCTCTTGGAGGATAGTAGGTCCTGAATCAGCTATTTATCAATAGCTTAGGGGCATGCTGGGAATTGTAGGACTTTTTTTTTCCATCTAAGCCTGCATAGATTTGTGCCTTTATAAATTCTCCCAACATAGAAGCATAACAGCTGACCTTGATACAGATGATTATTCAGTTTCATGAAATTCAAACAGATTTTTCCACTCAGAAGAGGATTTGCTTCTCAAAATGTTGCTTATTAAAATAATGGTGTGGCTTGGTCAGTAAGAGGCAAATGTTCTGATTTGTTGACTGTGGGCAGTGAGGCCTGATCATTCAACACATGGACACCGTCTCTCAACCAGGTGATGTGAGACCCTGGGCTGCATTATTTTATGAGGTTTCAGACAGCCATGTGTATACTTCAGTATTATTTTTATTATATTACATTACATTTCTATACCACCTGTAGCCAAAGCTCTCTGAGCAGTTCACATTTTAAGTCATCCATCCAGATTTCAACCAAGCCCAACCCTGCTTAGCTTCCAAGATTGTAGCACTTCAGGCTATACAAAAGCGAAAGTTGACTTTAGTTGTGAACCACACAACAAATGCTTCCATTCCATCCTCCACAGCAGCTTCCTCCTTCCTGATACAATGGAGGCTTGCCCAACACCCACCCCAAAGTATTCTGAGCATGTGCAGTTCCAGATTTTAAATTCATTTAAAATTTCAAAATTTGGTCTTAAATACTAGCACCATAAAAACATAAGAGGAGCTGTGCTGGATCAGAGCAAGGGGCCATCTAGTCCAGCAGCCTGTTCACATGGTAGGCAAACAGCCGTCCAGAAGAAACCATGTGGCGCAAGTGCAACAAGCAGGACATGAGTTCAACAACACCCTCCTGCCCGTGTTCCCCAGCAACTGGAGTATATAGGCATGCTGCTTCAGATACCTGACGTAGCACAGGACCATCAGGCCTAGTCGTTACGTATGGCCTTACCCTCCAGTGAATCTGTCTAATCCCCTTAAAAAGCCATCCAAACGGGTGGCCATCAGCACATTTGGGGACATTATGTACTGCCTGAAGAAGCATTTCATTGTATCAGTCCTGAAGCTCCCACCTGCCAGCTTCATGTGATGACCCGGAGTTCTAGCATTGTGAGAGGAGAAAAATGCCTCCTTCTCCACTTTATCCCACCAGTCATAATTTTGTCTACCATAATTTCTCTACCGTTTCTCCTCTTATTCACCCTTCTTCTAAGCTAAGCAATCCCAGATGTCTTAATCATCATGACTACGGGAATGGTAAACACATGTTCTTGGGAATAAGCATTTTTAGTTGCACAAAATAAAAGGTAAAGATAAAGCAATTAAAATCATAACCACAAACATGCCTGGATAACCACCCCCTGACTGTAAAATGTTTTGTTTTTAAAAGCAGAAAGAAAGAAAGAAAGAAAGAAAGAAAGAAAGAAAGAAAGAAAGAAAGAAAGAAAAGAAAGGAAGAAAGGAAGAAAAAGAAAGAAAGAAAATGTGAGCAAGCTAAAAAGCTGGAGTGGCAAGTTTCAGCCTCTGTGGATCCCAGCATGCTCATGCTGACACAGGGCCTTTTGCTGCAGTCAGCCCCCGACACCAGACAACGGACTGATTTCTAAAAGAGGGTCAATTGGACTTCAGAAAAGAATTGGCTGAGGTCACTGAAGAAGCAGGGACAGCCTCTGCTCCTTCAGAGTTTAGAGCAAGGGTGGGGAACCTCAGCTCCACAGTCCCCATTCTCTGCCCTCGGCCCTAATTCCTTTACTCCCACCCCCAATTGAAGGATGCTTTCCTAGCTTTGGTGTAGTTTCCCCCATTGTAAAAGATCGGAATGCTTCTACAAGGATTAAATATTAGCCATATGAGCTTGAAGCTATAATATGTTGGGGATTGTTTATTCAGGTTTTTTGGTGTCTGGGCCCACCCCTTTTAGCAACTGCTGTACTCCCACCAGAATGCCTCCGGCCCAAGAGTATCTCTGAAACTCATTTTGGTGCTCAGGCTGGCACTTTGGCTTAGTGTTTTTGAGCCTGTAAGGATGGTGGGCATTCAGATGATTTTAACCACCCTGTGGTGCCGTTGGAAGTGCTCAGGGCCTCCCACGGGCTTACTCCTCGGCTGGGGTCACACGAAAGCTCCAGTTGCCTCCATTTCTAGGTCGGGCCGGGCACTGGGGCAGCCCCCATTCTGAGTTGCTGCTACTGCGTGGATCGCAGCTGGATCCATTTGGAGGTGCCACATCATGCAAACAGCCATGCTCTCCCCAGCGGAATTGGCAGGATGCAAATCAATAAATAGGAAGATAATAGTCCTGCCTGCACGAAGTGCTTGGCAATGGCTGGATAGGTGCAATCTGCTTTAACTAAACAGAGTGTCATTTTGCCTTCCAGCATCTTGCTCTTTGATGGAGATATCCCCTTGGTGTATACTTTTGTTCCAGCATGGGGTATTTCTGTGAGCCGTCCAGAGACAAAAGTGATTGGATGGGCCAGAAATATCCCAAATAAAATAAATTTCGGCACATACTCAGATTTTCTTCTCATAGGACTGTAAATGTCCTTGATGGGCCATTCATCAGATTTATTGGATATGTAATCTTGATAAACATAGAACTCTCTTTTTTAAAGGCTTTAATTGTGCTAGTATTTCTAAAAAAATATATAAAAATCACTTTTTTGCATTCACCAGCATACTTGCATCCTCCGCTTTGTCAGGCATGACAGCATGTACAATTCCCCAATTAGTGGTGTTAAACACAGTTTAACATTATTTACTGTTTCTAATTGAGGTGATCCATATTTTGGAGTGTGTACCTTTTCAATATACCTCTCACTTTATTGTGATACCAATTCATTGTGAACGGAGCTGGTGTAGATTTAACACATGGGCACAAAATGTACTTTTCTCAAGTGGTTTAGAATCCCATCTATATATACTAGTGGGCTACATCTATGCAAGATTTATGTGTTGTTATTACTCTGTTAACTGCTCAGGAAAGAGAGGTGAGAAAATGCTGAGGGTTGTACTAAAAATCTAATTTAGCCTCTTGTTTCTCTAAAATGGATATTTCTCCCTGGTGTTCATACAGAATTTACTTGCAGAACAGTTTGCAACTGAGAGCCCTTCTGTGTTCTCTGCCATTGTACAGCTGCACAAAACACAGACTGTTTGAAGCACAAAATGCGGATCTGTCTTTCCCATTCCTGGCAGGAATTTGGTGGTTGTCTGTATCCATTGGTGCTACCAGCTCTAAACCAGTGTACATGGAAACTGATCCTTCAAATAGAGGACTGTTTGCGGGAAAAGAGAACACATGGCCATCCTACTTCGGTTGTCTTCTGGGTCTCAAAATGGCACCTGAAGGCAAGGAGGGTGGCCTGGTAGGAGTACTACAGAACTGGCAGGGGGACTTCCACCTGAAATGAGCATTTTAAGAAGCACGTTACTTTTCTGTTTGAAGCCTGAAAGGATCAAGGAGTACGAATGATTGCAAAAAATGCTTCTGTTAGTGGCCATGGGATGCATCCTGACCATAAAGTTAGAAAGCCAAAATGGGGTGGTTAGAAACATGCTCAAGCATGTAAGATCACAGGGCACATGCGTTGTTTCCCTCAACTCCCTGGACACACGGTTGTGCGAACGTGTGGGCATATACTTGGCTTGAGCGAAGCCAGACGTGGGCCCCACCCATCCCTTGCCATGCCTGCCATGTGTGGGAAGGGCCTCCTGGCTATGGATGGATGGGGCCAGGCTTCAGGCCACACCAACCCTCCCATGGTCAGTGAGCCCAAGGCTCAATTGCTCAGGGAGCCCCCGTGTCCTACTTTACAGAGAAGAGGCCTCTCTCAGGGCCTTGCAGGTGGCAGGCCCTTTGTCTGAGGACATCCTCCACAAATGTGGACACCTGCCTGGGCCAAGCCTGGATTAAAGTCGGAGAGCCAAAGAAAGGAGAGGAGGGGCCCTGAACTTCCCCTGAAGAAACAGACACCTGGGTTGCCGGTGGGGCTTTCAGATTATGCTTTTATTATACCATCACCCCGCATCATTCACAGAATTTTGCAGGTCCTCCGATTTTTACATTTTCCAGAACATGTAACCTTCTTCCAGCGCCCGTTTTCTCCCCTGCCACTGCTGAGTTACTGTAGGGGTGCAGTTCATAATCTCGGCCACTAGGTGGCACAACACACCCAGAGGTCTAATACAGCAACGGCGCTTCCCTTTTAAGAACATCCAGAACACGTGTGCCCCACTCCCGGCCCGAATGTTCTGGTGTCTTGGAGGAGACTGAACTGTTTAAAAAAATATATTTCCCACAGCAAACATCGGCAGGAGGTGTGCTGCACTGCTAGGCAAGGTCGTTTCAGCGTGCACAGCTGCCTGCCGTTCCCACGGGGCAGCAGAGCCACCAGCTGCCTGTTGGAGAACCATTTCCAGTGGCAAATGCAGAGACACGCGCGCTGCCTACCCATTTTATGCACCGAGCCGCTCACCCCCCGCCTCGCAGCAGGGGCGATTCTGTTCGGGGAGGTTGGAGGGAGCTGTTTACTTGGGGAAAGGAGATGAAGTCACTGCTCTGTGCGGCAGCAGGCTAAATTTAGGCGGAGCTGCGAGGGGCGGGGCACGGCTTCCGTGGCGGGGTGATGATCCGAGCAGGCGGGGAGCCTGGTCCCGAGGAGGCAGCGTGCTCGTTAGGCAGGGAGCCCCTTCGGACGCCGCGCTGCCTCGGTTGCCAGGGGCGTGGGGACGGCATCGGGGCGGGGAGCGGGCGGGGGGACACGGGCGTCTCTGTCCTCTAGATCTCATCATTTGGTTAATTAAGCGGGCGCCGGACTCTGCTAAAGCCCCTGCCTTTGGAAGACTGTGAGGCCCCAGGGAAGAGCTCCCCGTGTTTGAAGTATGTCCAGTCCACACGTGATAAGTGAGCCCGCTTTCAGGTGCGAGTCTATGCCCACCCCGCTGGCCTGAGCCCGGGGGAGCTCGGCGGGGCTCGCTGCTGAAGAGACAGCCAAGCAGGCCTGCTGGTCATGCCCGCTATTTATGCTGTCCGATCTGGTCGTGCACCCAAAGGAGGTGTAAGCAAGCCTGGAAGAATCCCGAGGACCGCAGAAGTACGAAAATACAGCGGGTGGGCAGACTCCTGAGGGGAGAACCTCACAAAACAGCACACTGAGGTCTAGGTAAGCTCAGTGGTCATGGAACACTGACTGACAGGGAGATAATCTGGAAACTGGGTGGGAGAGGGAATGGAGTATCCAGGGGGAGGAACGGAGTATCCGGGAGCCCAGCATGGAGCTTGTCCTTACTTTCTTGCTATGCCAGTATGCCACATCCACATTGCTTGTGGAATTAGAACCCAAGCAAGAGGGGATTCAAAACAGAAATAGGAAAGCCAGCATGCAATTCATGGAGGGATCAAGATGCAATGATAACCCGAGGGTCCCGAGGTTCGGAGGCAGCAGCATGCCTCCTAAGATGGTTGACCAGGGCCAAGAGTGAGCGAACACCCGCGTCCTCGTGCCCTGCTTGCTTCCTGGAGGCCTCTGATTAGGCACAGTGGAAGCAGTGCTGGACCCAGCAGGGCCCTTGATCCGCTCCCTCTCAAGATAACGGGGAAAGAAAGTCTCACTGAGCAGGAGGAGAATTTAAAAGCAAATCCACTTTGCCCAGTTGAAAGGCAGATAGACTTTCCAAGGCTGATAGACTTCGCATGGCACAGGATGATAAGTGCTCCTCCAGCCAAGCAGGATGCTAATAATGCACCCAAAGTAGTTTAGTGGGGGCAGCACACAGAATCGCTGCCCAACTGACACAGTGGGATGTTTCTTGTCTCACAGCTCAGACTCCAGTGGGCTTCCCTAACGGAGTGTGAAGGGGCTGATTTATGCGCTGCACGTGCCCATGATGGCCCTTGGGTGAAGCATGGATCATTTGGCTTGGTGCCTATTTACAGCCACGTGGGAATTCCTGGAAGCCGCTTCTGCATCAAAAACTCATTATTTCTGGATTGCCCCAGGAAAAGCCAGCTGGGCAGAGAGACTATAAATGCACTGTGGTTTACATTTTCTTTGGCTTGCTGCCCTCTGATGGGAGAAAGAAAGGAAGAACACTGGACAGTGAACGAAGAGCCTAAATACCTCTTAGTCATTCTAAAAATGCTATTAAAACTCAGTGAGCAAAGTGTTTCCAATTGTAAAGTGTTTTACATGTTCAGAGAATATGCACATGTTTGACCTGCCACTGCAATAATGTGTACCTAAGCAGTAATTACATAGGCGTATTTAATAAAACGAGCTTAGCAAAATTTAAATATTATGCTTTGCCTGAAAATAGTTCAATAGAAGAATAATTTCCACAGAAGCAGACATCTTGGTGTGCTGCAGCAAAGACTACAAAGAGATGGGGGAAACCCGTGAGCAACCGCCAGTGTCGTGAAGTGCTTAGAGTGTGGGATGGGGACTCAAGAGATGCAGGTTCTAGTCCCCTCTCAGCCCCAAAGTTTACTGTGTGGCTTTGGGCTCTCAACCCTCAGTAAGGTGCTTGTGCATCACCTCTTCAGCGGGCTGGAGAGTATGCGCTGTTGATGACGATCACAACAACCTTGCTGAGGCACACACTGCTCCGAGTGCAATTTAGTCATGGCCTTCTTGCCAGTCCAGCAGTGATAATCTGCATCGATAGCCTGCTCCCCTTGAACACAGGCTGGAGGTAAATGCAGCTGTATCTTTGCTGCAGGCACATCAGATCTATCCAGCCTATCCAAGCCACGCCTGATTGGCGAGGATGTGCATCTGCAAGGAACCGCGTGCAGTATGAATGTTCTGGTCCATTAGCTGTCCATCTGAAAGCAGTCAGGAAAGGAGCGGGTGCACATCAACGTCAATCAAATAAACTGAACGCAACGGTGGCCATAAGCTGTTTAATGAACTGCCTTCGGTAGCTGTCCAGCTCAAGAAGCGACAGCCACGGGTTCCATGACTTCAGTTTTCCCTTAGTAGCACGTTTTTCTTTGGTGGCTTTTCTGGGTTTGTTTCTTGATAATGCATTTGTTTGTATACAGCTTAAATATAATACAATCCCAAAGTGGTTGAACCATGTGGAATATTGAGGGGACAGGAAATAGGTTCTCTTCTGAGAATCTTGTCTGTCTACTCATCAACATTTTATAAACTTGTATGAAGTGCATGTATGAGGTGCAAGCATAGCCTAACTGTCTGGGAAACGCACAAAGCTAATTTTATACTAGCACAAAGCTGCCAAGCTTTGAACTCCCGATTCATTTGGTTTACATTGATCTTGACGACATTCAAATCGGAGGCTGTGGAACATGAAAGGGAAAATGCTTTGTATGTAATTCTGTTTTCTTGCTGCACAGCATTATGGGAGGTGTTTGGAGAAGCAGAGTTGTGCATGCAAGTGGTATTTTTCTACACTGGAAAAACCCAAGTTGAGACTGCAATGGCACGGGCATTGCGGCTTTCATTACTGAGGTCCTTTGTGCATTTCTTTGCTTGCCGACCAGGACTACAATCAAGCACAGAGTTGGGCAGAACGGTTTTAATCAGGCCTAGCTGATGTGTTGCTGGCAATAGTTGCAGCCTTCCTCTCCTGGACTGGTTTGTCCAACTCTTTCCCCTCCACTGTGTGCTTCAGGGTGTTTGTGAACTAAGGCCCTCCTTATCAAATTCGGCATAAGTGAGTGTTGGCCTGGAGGCCTGGGCTTGCAAAGGATCTTGGGAAGGAGAAGGAGGGCTGCTGTATCCTCCATTACATGTTAAAGGAGTTCAGTGATGGATGCACAGGACTCTAGTCCCGATTGTGGCCGCGAGGTTTTGGGGCTTTCCTATGGGAGGCACTCACTGTGCACACCTGATCACTCCTCCAGAGCGTCTAACATGAACAAGGAAAGGCTGGTATTGAATTTTAAATTTTTAAATCACAGCACAAGGATTGGTTGGTTAATGCAACATATAGAAAAACAGACAAATACAAATGGGTAGTGTGGCATAGTGGTCAGAGTATGGGACTGGGACCCAAGAGATCTGGGTTCTGGTCCCTGCTCAGCCATGGAGCTCACTGGGTGACTTTGGGCCAGTCAGACTCTCAGCCCAACCTACCTCACAGGGTTGTTGTTGTGAGAATAAGATTGAAGGAGGGGGAGAATTGTATGAACCGCTTCAGGTTCCTTAAAGGAAAAAGGGGCAGATATAAATTAAATACATAAATGCCCGGGGTGCGGGGGACAGAATAAAGGTCATATTTTTCTTCCTGCAATAAATTGGAAGAAGAAGCTACAGCAACAGGTTACTTGTTATTCCCTTGTGGATCAGGCACCTGAAAGGATGGAAGGATCCCACCCACAGAAATAGTAGCATCTTGTTCTGTGCTGATGGCTAAAACACAAGACAAAACAAAACACATCTTCCCTGTGTATTGCTTATGGGCAACACAGCTCAGTAGCCACTCTCTGTGCCCTGCCCACGTTCCCCCACCATTCATCTGCCCTGGGCTGGGAAGCAGGTTATTTTCTCCTCCCAGAGTTTAACTCCCTTCCCTTTGCCAGCAATCCCCGTACAGGGACTCCTGGAAGGGAGGCGCGAAGCACTTCCTTCCCCCAGGGACCCTGGTGCAGAAATCGTGCATCCTATTCCCTCACCCGTCTTCAGCAGGCGGTGTGGGGGGGGAGGATGAAATCCGTCTGTGCTGAGACGTGGGGGGGGGCACACGTGTGAAGCCTTCTCCCCACCCTACATTGCATGCAGCCCTCAGGGCCCTAGGGCCAAAATGGTTAGCATCCCTACAATATAGATAAGAGACTAGGGCTCCCCCTGCCACATATATGCTGAGCTGCTAAATGTTGCGGGCAGCGTGAAAGAAATTCTTCCAGCCCAAAAGAAGCCGGAGTTTCTAAGCCAGGTTCTTGCTGCGGCAAGCTCTGCTCTGTCCCCAAATTGGGGCAAAGTTTGGCAGATTTTATCTGTTAGATTAGATGCATGCATGCATGCATCAGAGGAGAAACGCCCAAACTCTGGTTGAGTGCTGCTGTTCCGTTTGCATGGCTCTCTGTTTGTGAGAAGTAAACAACAGCGCCTTCTTATCGCAATGGATAAGATCTGTGGGCAAACAGACCTCATGGAATGGATGGCCCCTCCAGCTCAAGGGGTAATATTTGTGATGGCAGGGGAATAAAAGGGAAAGGCACGGAGTGCAGGAGCTGAGCAGGGAATACAGATTTCTCAGAGATGCCTACATGTATTAAGCCAAAATAATTCTTATTAATTTCAGGAGATTTCCAGCCCTTCTGTTTTTCACTGCTCATTTATAACATTTGTTATACCCATCCATTTGTTCTGCACTCACACAAACTCTTGGCCTGGGATGTTCAGGCTTCTTGCTTATTGACTGGAACCCACTGGGACTTATTTAAACCATGCTTTAAATAACCATGCCGGCAGCCATTTTGAATAGTCAGTCCCCAGTTGGGAGTTGCCTTGGTTTGCCTACTTATCCAAACCTGGGCAGCGTGGCTTGCTGGAGGGGTAGACAGCCCTCTAATACCCTGTGACCTGTTTAAGGTTCCTGGCTGAATCGGCCGTCTGTGTTCCTCTGGACATACTCTTAGTGCTAACACAGCCTTTTTTCATGGTCAGGATACACTAGAATAAATTTGCAACTCAAAATATTGCAAATTCCTCAGAATTTTTCTTTGCAAACAGAGTTGATGAATATTTGCTGTATTCTTTTATTGTTCAGCTATTTGCCATATACTCACAGAATATTTTGCATTTGAAATACTTGTGATGCTGGATTTTGATATATACAATGACTGATATTTGAAAGTATTTGGTATTATGTGATTGTTGGGAAGGAGCCTTAGCATAACACGACATCACAGGCTGTGTGTGGAAAATATTCATTCTCAGCCTCTGCCGCTAAAAAGAGATGTTGGCAGAGCTGAAAAGCACTTCTGCCTGCAATCCAGGAAACTGGTGCCGGCCAAGGTAGAACAGTGACAGACCAGATAGGACAACTCTCTGATTCAGTACAGTCTAAAGTGGTCAGGAAGTCCCAACAAGCAATAAACATGTGTCAACTTCTGGAGTAAAACTTAAAATGTAAATCCAAAATTTGAATTTTCACTGAATGCTGAATATGTGCAAATATTCTTCTCGGCACTAGTTTGGGCCAAGGGAGGGCCGGCTGAGGTGAGTGACATTCAGTTCAACAAAGAGTGCAGGGATGGGAAAGGAATGATCATTGGACACCTTCCCTCTGTGCAGGATAAACAAATGTTGGACCTCTGCAAAGCCAAATCGCATTAGTGTACCCGGCAGCTTTCAGATGACTGTGACGAACCTGCCTGGATGCTCCCCCACGTACATTGCCTGGGTTGCGTGCCTTCTTGTTTCATTCCAGCATTGCTCCATTGTCAAAAACAAAGGACTGGGGGAATGGCCCGCTCCCCTTTCCCGGCGCTATTCCATTTATTTGCCAGACTGACAAGGGCCAAGCAACGACAAAATGACCTTCACCATGCACTTTCCAGCTAATGTCAGAAAGAAGCGCATTTAGATAACAAAGCCTTCCCAACAGTAATTGCTGGCTTTACAGTCAAGGCTGTTAGCTGAGTAAAAATAGAAGTGGTGGTGGGGTGGAGGCGCTTCCTGCAGGAACAGATGAGTTGCTGTTTCATTGTGATAAGCCCCTCGGAGAACAAGCACCCGAGTAGGCAAGCTGCGTTAGTCACTCCGAAGAGCAAAAGACCTCAAGAAGGCACGTACTGCAGCTGCTCCCGATTGCCTGAGCTCACTGTGGCAGTCCAGGTGCCGCATCCTCAGCGGTGCCCAGATTTGGACTCAGCCCCCCTCGCAGGAGCCCCTCTGTCCTCTGCCATCAGGCATCTCTGGGATGAGTTTGAACTGGCTCAGTGTGGTTTGGGGTTCAGATGGACCCCTCCCCTAGACGAGTCTGGTCACGGACAGCTGTTTGAGGAACTGGAGGCAATTGTGTCAAGGTCAGGGTGACAAGAAAGTTTGGAATTAATAGTATTTCTGAAGGTAATGCACATCACTCGCTTGGCTTGAAACTGCAGCGGTTTAAAAGCTCAGGCCTCTGAGAGGAAGGACAGTTGCCCATTTTCTTGATGCCACGCACATTTCCCCCTGTGTAAGGTAAAAATTGAT